GTATATATGTAAGTGTATATCAACATTTAAGAGCATTGAAAGCATATATACATATGTACGCATTAGGAATGTTAATCCCGGGATCCTGGACTTTTTAAGGTCTCGAAAATCCCGGGATTCATGGCAAGTAATACCGGGATTTTCGGGATTTATAATTTGCACTGATGGCAATAATAGAAACTACTTTTCTTGACCAGTATTGCCTATATTTCTTTCTTTATTTAATAATTAATATTTTTTTATAAACGTGTAGCTCATCATACATATAACACCCCGCGATAGTCAATTTTATACACAAATATCAATATATTCGCGAAACCATGGGCCAAATATAGTAAAATTGCATTTTTAGCTTTTCACTCTGATGTCACTAATTCAAAAATGATTTAAAAAATTCAGAGAAATGTGCTTAGAGAAGAAGTATGGGTATAAAATTAATGAGGAAAGGACTGAGATTCAAGTTTCTGGTGCAGAAGGGCTGACAAATATTGAAAATCCTTGAAATATCGCAATAGTTGTTTTTGAAAAAATTGTATGTTACGGGCTTATATAAACTCGATAACATGCTAGAATTTCGTTCTCCTATCTTTGTCAGCTTAAAAATTACCTATTTGTCCTTGTGAATCCAAAAAATTTAAATTTTTTAAATTCTAATTTTTGGAATTAATCATATGTTTGAAATTACAAAGTCCTTCAAAATAAGTCCTGCAGTCACAGAGAAAAAATAAAAACGCCACTTTAAATAAAAAAGTAGGAGGTCAAACCCATTTATTTGTTATTTATTTCATGGTAGGAGAGCTTCTCAAACAACATAGAAGCAATTTTTTCGATCAAGTTGTTGAAAAGTAATGAATATCTAAATCCCGGGACTAATCCCGGGATCCCGAAATTGTGATAACGCCATCCCGAAAATCCCGGGATCGGAAAAAGCCGAAAAATTAACATCCGTACTATGCATTATATACTTTGTTTATTTTATCAACATTCGTCTAACAACATTTCGACTAAAGTGGAATCTCTGGGATTATCATTAAACTTAATTAAATGGAAAACTAAGCTAAATAACTTAAAGGTAAAATGAGTAATCCAGAGCGTTGTGTAGAAATTCGACTACTCAAAACCTGGAACTTATTTAGAATAACCATATGTTCCCGTAGACCACTTCAGATTTCTGTCATAATATCGACAATATATCGACAGTATTCAACAGAAATTTTTGCAATAACTTTTTGAGTTAAAAACTAATTGAAATTGACACATTGGACTCAATTGTGGTATGGTGCAATGCTAACGGTGGACGTTTGAACAAAAAAATTAATAATACAACTCGATCTTCAAAATTTAATCGGATATTTCGATAGGTTTGATAAAAACGTGTAAAATTTTCCGATTCCTTACATAGGATAAATTTTCCCACACATGGGTGAATTTCAAGCGAGTTGACGACCCTAGAAGGAGCCCAGTACGCTAGTGACCATCAGTGAGAGCTTTTTACTTTGTAAGTTTATATAAAATGTAGAAAGCTTTAAAACCTATTTCCGCGGGACACGTTTTGTTTTTATAGTAATGCGATCCTATATACAAACAATTGTATGTGCATACCACCCGTCAACGTAAATCGAGTTTACTTCAAAGTAAATCATAAAATGGCCAGCTTTTTGCCAGCTATAGGCTAGATATTTTGTTCAGTCACATAACATCAATTGCCAAACGAAATAAACAAGGTTGTAATTACACTTTTTGGGAATCTTATTTTCTGTTCATACAAAATTAAGATGTCTTAAACAGCTGCAATTTAGGTTTTAATAAACTTTTGGTGTTAAAGGAAAATCTTTATTAAATTGTTTTTTAATAATTAATCAATAATTTATTAATATAATTAATAATTTTTTCAAATTATTGTTGCTTTTCCACAATAAATTTTCATTAAAAAACGGCCTCGAGCTCAATAAAAATTGTTGAATATAATTGTTATAAGGCCATAAAATAACAAAAAAACAAATAACTTAAGGACCAGCACACCTAAAAAGTTAAACATTCTAATAATAGAAATATTAACAAAAACCAACAAAACCAACAACCACATGATCAAGTGAATTGCAGCGGAATAGCTGCGCTTGATTGTAGTTGGCTTAGCAAAGTGAAATAGTGGAAAATAAGCAACAAGAATTAACAAGACAAACTTAGCACAGTGCGTAGGCAACTGGCTGAGTCAGTGGTGATCGTCGGTTCGAATCCTACTGAAAGAAGTCTGATGAGGAAATGTGGTGATTTCCGAAATAGCTATCACTTCTACCATTTTTTCAAATTATTGTTGCTTTTCCACATTAAAGTTTCATTAAAAAACGGCCTCGAGCCCAATAAAAATTGTTGAATTAATCACTTACATTATTTTTTTAACAATTAAGTTAAAAGCTAAAGGGAGAAATTTAGGTCAAAATAGTCTTACGTCCCATTTCCACCAAGAGCTTAACTGCAGTTAAGAGTCAGGTAAGTGCAGATAACTTTAACTAGGGGCGATAAGCAATGTTTATTTCGTATGGGCTGTTTTTGCTTACGCTTAAAATCACATTTGGCGCATTTAGCTCGAAATGCTACTATAAATGCCCATCTATCCATACAAAATTCGTCACCTGAATGCAACTAAATGCAACTCAAATGTGATCTTAAAAAATTTCCACGATTCGAACATGGTTTAATGAGAAAAAGTGGCAACATTGCTTTTTCGCGTATACAGTTGCTGCGTTTCAGTGATCGCCAATCGAGATTTCATTTATTATTTTACATTATTTGGATTAAGAAAAGTTTCGCAAATTCAACATCGATGTGATTCTGATAGAAATCTGGATCAATTTGTGGTCAACCCTGTTTGTTTTGTTTGGGAAATTTTAATTGACAGCACCGACAAATGAATATATACACAAACAAATTCTCGGTTACGGTTAAAACAGTTCAAGTTTTTTATTGAATTTTTTGTTCAACATTTCTTTTTTCCTTTTCAGTAGGGGTTTTTCACATTATCTTCTCCGTGCGAATTTATCGTGATAGATGCGGATCTGAATAAGCATACGATTTCGAACTCGCGTAAATGCACATTTGCTAAATGCGTTAGCATGAACGCTCTTCGAAAACATACATATGTTCGAAAGTGCTAAATGTTACATTTTAAATGCAGCAAAAAGGCTGGATTACTTTTTGCTTTCGATTGCTTGTACTTAATATGAGCAATTACCCCTTTCGAGTTGTAATCTCCTTTTTCCAATGGGCATAAACTGCAGTTAAGGCTTGGTGGAAATGAACTATTAAGGCAATATATGCCTCTCTAAGAGCACTGATTTGCCGCCGTATTTAGGTGTAGCCAATTACAAACATTATTTTGGCGCTAAATTATTGAGCTTTCAACCTGTAGAGTAATTACAAACATTCTTATTTCGTTAGGGAATCGACCAATTCTAACGTGCATATCTATTCGTATTCATGCTGTTCCTGTAATGCTGTAAGTGAACTTAAATGGCTGTTAAAAGAAGCTGTAAGCAGTTTGCAGTTGCCGCAGCATAAAGCATAAACCCCTTTTATTATTATTTTATTTCAAAAACGTATCACCTTTTTTTATCAAGTTTTGGTATAAGTAGTGTGTATAAGTTTCCTTAAATTACTTACGATTTCTCGGCAAAATTTCTTCAGTATCTGATGCTGGGGTGAAGATCTTACGCAAATCAATATGTTTCGTGGCATTTGACGACTCCTGGGTTTCCGTTTCGGTTTAGTTTTGTTGTATTCAAAGTTGAAAAAGACAAAATAAAAATATATTTTTTTTTAAATACTCACACGCACCAGTATTTCTTTCTAGTTAAAACTACATAAATTTTTTTATTAATAACACAGGTCTACCAAAAGTTAAAAAAAAGTTATTCGACGCGCTGAATGCGAATCCGAGGTCTGTTAGCCCCAAGTAATAAAAAATTCATTGAATAAACCAGAAAACTCATATATATCGGGTCTTAGACTCACTGAACGCGAGTCCGAGGTCCGTTAACCTCCATAATGTCAGGCTCGAGGTCATTTGAGGGTCAAATAGGGCATACAATTTACTCAATAAAAATAAAAAATAAAAATTTAGGTTTTTGTTGTTGCTGAATAATATAATAATAATAATATTTGCTTTTGATTCTTCAAGGTCATCTAGAGGTCATGCCAAGGTCATCCCAAGGTCAAATTCAGAATAATTTATTGACCTTCAAATGACCTCGAACCTGATGTGAAGTAAGCTAGCAGACCTCGGATTGGCATTCAGGGCGTCGAATAACATAGAGATATAGAGGTCTGGTTCAATATGCAGAAACTTTTTTTTTAAACCTGTGTAATTAAAGAAGTTCAGAGCTTTATAGTGAACTCACTGCTATCTGAAAATAAAGTCCAAAGACAAAGGCTTTCTACAAGAACAAAGTTGTGAAAGATATCTTTCGGAAGCCTTTGGAATCACAAGAAGCCTTAAAAATGCATCGTGTATGGTGTTAGAGGCGATTGCAGGTTTGTCACACAGTGTAACAGAGAAAATCAACTTCCTGATTTGCCTAGTAGCGCTCACCGAATATTTTACGTAACTAAGCATGTATGTTTAAAATTTTGCAACATCCTGAAATTCTCAACTTATTCATAAAACACAATTTCTAAACTATCGTACGGATTGCCACATTTATATCTTTAGTTAGTTTTTATTATATGTATTCAGTAATTATTTATTATCCACTGATTTTTGCATGTATCATGCTGATTTTTTTCATGATAATAGTTAATTAGACCCGCTTTTTAGCCTAATTGTTTCAATTTTTCAAATAATAATTATTTTGTACAAAATTTTTAATTTTTATGAAAAATTAGTATAAACAAATGGAAATATTTATTACTTCTCGATCAGGTTTTTTAACCGTATACCTTGAATATCAATCCTTATTCTATAATACATTATTTAAAAGAAGAAAATAAGAAACTTGCACGGAGTCTCTAGTTATTAATTTTTTTCGCTCCTGCCTACGGTTGCCAGACGTACTGATTTTATCAGTACAGTACTGATTTTTCTACTCCTGTACTGATTTTATTATTTTCTTCAATCAGTCCTGATTTGTATTTGTACTGATTTGTATTGAATTTTCAATTCAAACAAAATACTTTATGATTTTCTTAAGGTTGTTACAAAACGTTGGAACTTCCTTAAACTGTACTGTAAAAAGTAAAAAGAAAATAATTTAATTATAGTTGACATGTTTCAGATAATGTTTGATATGCCCAATAAATTAATACCACAAATTATGGGAATATCGCCGGGTCGTTACGTACCAGTTGCGATAATATGATGGAGCTTAAATTATTTAAAAATAAGGCTGACGTTTTTTTTTTTTGTCGAGTGTTGTTAGTTATCTCGTAAATAACTTTCAGTTTAATTACAACAAATTTGAATATTCGAATGGCTTTTGCCTATAACTTACAATTCTTTTCTCACTATTTACTGACATTGTAAAAGAGTTTTGCAAACAAAACATAGAGTTAGATACTCTTTTTAGCGAACTCTTAGTATTTCAAAGTTTTTGCGTAGTTGAAAAATTGTATTTAGGAAATGAGGAATTATAGATGAAACCTTAAATAGTGGTATTTTTAAACAGTCTGGAAAAATATGTAATTTTCTTTTTTTTCAATACCACACTCAAGCGAAGGAACTGGGAGGATCTTAAGAATAAAGTTTGCTTCCGAGCGCAAAGAGAGAAACCGGCTCCTAATTAAAATTGTTTAAAGAGAACTGCAAATTAGAAGTAATTTTAAAATGAAATGTATAGAATTCTTGTGACACTGAAGATGGAAATGATCTTACTAGTGCTATTCAAAAATGTCATAAATATAAAACAATTTACTGGCTTCAGTGTACAATGATATGTACACTAGAGTGGTTAAAAAAAATACTGTTTTTGGAAAATCAGAAACGCTACATCAAAATATTGTTATTTGTGATAAAAAAAATAGACTCGTATTTTTTTATTTCGAAAAAAAAGTTTTTTTAGAGGTTGCGCTGGCCGGTTTTTTTATTTAAACGCTGATGCTCTCATTTTTTTATTTTCGTAATATGTGACCTGGTCTACGGAAAGGGGGGGAAGGGGGGGGGGGGGGGGTAAAAAAA